CTCAAAAGCACCCGATGGTCCCGATCAGATTTGAAGCTCAGACGGCAGACAACCTTCTTCTGTCAGTGATCCACTCTGTCAGCTGGTTTTGTTTCAGCCGAACGTCGACGTCATTTCCGACCTCTGGATGGAGTCCAAGTTTACTTTCCGACCTTGGCCGCTAAGAAACCTTTGGGGAGAGCGCCTGCGTTTTGGTTTGTACGTGTTCAGAATGAATAAACGGGATGACGACGTCGATAATTTTGTCATGGTGGGTTCACCGCTGGGTCATTTGGCAATCAATGATTTTGTACACGAAACGTACTAAGTCACATTAGGAAAGTCATGGTCTGCTCTGTTTATTCTTACTTAACTGTTAGTCACATTCACATGTACTACTAGTATATGGTGACAGGAGCAGAGCAGACCATATGAAACTGCAACATTATGTAACCCAACACCAGTCACCATGGTGACGAACATCAACAAATCATGTCATTGGTCAGGTCATAGGTCACTGGAGAAGAAGAAGAGGAAGAAACTGAGCAAAAACAATATGTTTTCCTTCGGTAAACATAATTATCTACATTGTGGTTAGAACGAAAGCTACTAGCATTCAGGGCAAGCTCAATTGTCAAGTTCCAACTGTCTGTATCTCCTGTATGTATTCTTGCTGGGGTCTTGTAGCTATGATCAGCATGAAAGTTCATCTGAGTTGGTAAATTACATTATGCAGAATTTTAAACTGTTCGAGACGGGGGGGCGATATCGACTTGAGACAACCTTTGACCCTCTGCTGACGTCACACGTGGGAAAAATCACGTGTTCACAGCATTTGGGTCAGATAGCTGAGGAAGACTGAGTGATTCAGTCGAAAATTCCGGTGAGTAAAATTTATGAGTTGGAGAACAGATTAAAAGTCTGCATATTGTAGCTATGATGTTATTCCCCAGCACTTTGTGATGATGTTTCTGTTTTTTACACGGAACCAGCAGGTAGGGGACCTTTCTTCTCGTCATGAGCACCTGACGCCGCACCTGGGTCCACCTGGTACGCAGGTGGCGCCTGCTGGGCGGGGTAGAACACCTGCACAGGTGCGCCTGCGGCACCTGGGTTCTGCGCCAAGAACATCTGCGGTTGGCTCCCCTGGGCACCTGCGGAAAATATAGATTTAAGAGTAAAAGAAATCTGTTACTTTCTTAAACTTTTTATTTTTTTACACGGGCCAGAACACCTGCATTGATCCAGGTATGACATAAAGTTAGTTACCAACCTGTGATTCCCTGCATGATGACAATGTTTCCTTCTGCTCCACCGGGAACCGGACCTGCAGCGTAGATCACTGTCTGAAAAACAAACAAACAAACAAACAAACAAACAAACAAACATATGAAGGAGAAGACTGTAAACATGTAGTAGCTATAGAAACTACATGAAACATAAAAATGCAAGTACTGGGTTTTGTAGAATTGTTGACGCGTTCTTTTGCCGGCCAATTCTACAAAACCCAGTATCAAAACGCCCATCCACTCTACTCTCCAAGCAGAGGTTGTGGGGGAATGATCGTTACCTTTTTATATATGGCCCTTTTTTGTCGCTACCCCCACCAACCCGTCGGTGGCTAATGGATACTAGTACTGGCTGGCCTATTTGATACTGTCTTTTTGCCACCGAGAGGGATCTGCTTGGAGATTACATCCACTTGGAGGCCTGCACAGGAGGCCAGTCAGTAACTTATTCCGTATCAAAAACAAGGCCCTCGTAGGACAAACCAAAAACTAACGTTTAAGTACTTTTCGAAACCTAATGTCTAAGCTTCAGTGTTCCATCTGCAGTACCAACCTGTGCCGCCGGGCGGCGCATGGTGCAGAGTCCACAGCAGCTGAGAATGGAGACCACAAAACCGAGAATGAGCTCAAGCACAGCCAGGAAGATGTTCACTGCATGGAGGCCGATGGAAGCCGGTGTACAGTCAAAGGTCTTGTAGTGCCTACAGGGAAAGATTCACGTCATAATTTTGATATAGTCCATCACTGGAATGTAACATTTGCAAAGCAAATACATAATGTTAACCTTATGGTCTACCCTAACAAACTACCTCTCTGTTTATTTTTACTCAAACGCATTCACACACACACACACACACACACACACACACACACACACACACACACACACACACACACACACACACACACATACACACACACACACACACACACACACACACACACACACACACACACACACACACACACACACACACACACACACACACACACACACACACACACACACACACACACACACACACACACACATTGCTCTCATGCCGTTGAGCGCGTCCCAGTCGTGCTGCCGACACGTAGTGGAGCACGATAGAGCTGCAATGGCGATGCAGCACACACACGCCCACGAATATACTACCATGAACGCTACCTAAACTCATGGGTCGAGACAATGATGGAAGCTCCTTGGACTATAGGTGAGAGAACACGGTAAACAAACAATGCACAAGTCTATAGGAAGGCAACAAACATGCTCTGGGATCGTTCTTGCAAACGACAAGTGAACAAACAAACATACGATCATGGGGTATCGTGTGTCCATCATAATTTTGTTTCCCCACCGCTCACTCCCCCCAGCCAATTTCTGTCTAAAACCTTTTATACCCGGTAGTAAATTATACTTAGGCCTGATGGAGACTACAAGCTACAACCCTGCAGGTCGATCATAACTTGATTCCCCATCTGTGCTGGTTTCTCGGAAACCCCTTCAGAGCCTGGCAACAACCCAACACGTACGCCCAACATTGGAGCTTGGGCACTGACCTTTCGCTTATAAGGCCACAGCAAGTAAATTTTATGGATGACATCCTCCGCAGACTCCAAATCTAATGCGAGCGGGCGAAAAAAAACAAGGCAGGCCGAAAAAAAAGGTTCCTACAATGTAAAATTTTGACTCAATCAATGTACAAATGGTTTTGATTCAGAGGAACATCACATATACGCAGACAGCATCACATATCACTGCATCAAAGTAAGAAACAAAACATTAAATCAGAGCCTTTTCTGGTCTCCTCTCTTCCTAGTTATCTGCCATCCACCTTCCAGCATGGCAACAGACATCTTTGCCCATTTTCGGCATGTTGACCACTGTCAGAAGGCAACAAAATTTCTTGTTTTTTTTTTCAAAATCAGGCGAAAATTAATGCACGCGCGGATGTCATCCATAAAATTTACTTGCTGCGGCCTAAGTTATAGGGGGGCCCGCATGCCCTTTTTCGTAGAGCGCAAATATATATGTCAAATCGGCCGTTTAAATTCTACGTAGAGCGTAGACGGACCGCTCAAATTCAACGTAGAGCGTAACTGAGCGCATACTAGAAATTTTTGCGTACGTAATGCTCTGTTAGCCTGGGTACCATCCGGATTTTCTCTACGCAACGCTTGATTTTTTCAAGCGTTGCGTAGCGAAAATCCGGATGGTACCCAGGCTAACGGGCATGTACCCCGTGTTGTTTAGCGTAGAGCGTTGTCGGGACCCCCCCCCCCCCTTGCAGGCCCCCGTACAGCTATGAGACCAGACAAACACACTCAGCGCTTGACTTGAGAAACCCCCAACCTGGCCTCCCTTAAGGGGACTCCAGGTTCACTCACATCCTCATGGTCTGCACGTATACAAATGGTTGCCAGCAGACAGTAGTAAATTACACAAAGTTATAATCTGATCCACCATACCTGCCACACTGCCAGATTTGAAGTTCAGACGGCAAACAAACGTGGAGTGCGCCTGCGTCTGTCAGTGATCGACTCGCGGGCGCCTCGGCTAATTTCGTTTCAGCCGAACGTCGACGTCATTTCCGGGAAGGGGCCCGACCTCTGGATGGGGTCCAAGTTTTCTTCCCGACCTTAAGGCCGCACAACACAGTATTTATGGGCGAAAGTCAAAAGTAGTCCGGGCACAAAGTAGTGCTACACAATACTAGGGAAGGGTGCAGAGATTGTTTTGTGCATGGCATCGAGACAGAACCTGTGGTAAATGTTAGAGGAATACGTCAGTTTTGAGACTGTAAAAGTTGGATTATGGTGCGTGTTCAGTCGGCGCAGATTTGCGCTTGGATACTTGTCCCGCCTAGTACTGTGCGTTGGCTGCAGTTCCATAACCTCCGCAGTGGCGCTAATAAAAGAGGGCATGAGAAGAGAACTAGCCGGCAAATTTAAGCTCATTTTCACATATTTTGTACACTATACCCTGAAATTAAACATATCAAAATTCTGAACCTTGCTTGTGCACCCTAGTATGATTTTCCGTGAGTCGAAGTGAGTCACTTTGGGGTCCTTAACTATAGAAATCCCCATAGGGCTAAAACTGTGTTGTGCCGCCTTGACCGCTAGTAACATTCGGGAAGTGGTTGCGTTTCAAGCAGGGTCGGTTTGTACGTGTTCAGAATGAATAAACGGGGTTACGAAGGCATGAGTCGATAATTTTGTGATGGTGGGTTCACCGTTCAGTCATAATTTGATTTTTGTACGCGAAACGTGCTGAGAACGACTATAAAAGTTATAAGGAAAGTCATTTAAGACACATGTAGAAAATATCAGCACATTTTACATCTTAGCACATGCAGAGAAATCACAAATAAGAGGGAAGAAAAATATGAATAAATAAATCAGTCGCAGTGACCCTCTTGAAAAACTTGCCGGGGTACTTAGGCCACAGCAAGTAAATTTTATGGATGACATCCTCCCCAGACTCCAAATCTAATGCGAGCGGGCGAAAAAAAAAAACAAGGCGGGCCGAAAATAACAAGGTTCCTACAGTTTAAAATTTTGACTTAATCAGTGTACAAATGGTTTTGATTCAGTGGGAACATCACATATACACAGCCAGCATCACATATCACTGTATCAAAGTAAGAAACAAACATTAAATCAGTCTTTTCTTGTCTCCCTTCTTCATAGTTATCTGCCATCCACCTTCCAGCATGGCAACAGATATCTTTGCCCATTTCCGGCATGTTGACCACTGCCAGAGGTCAACAAAATATCTTGGGTTTTTTTCCAAAATCAGGCGAAAATTAATGCGCGCGCGGATGTCATCCATAAAAATTACTTGCTGTGGCCTTACGAACAGTTTGCATTATTAAGCAATACAACAACAATAAAATATGTGCCTACATATTTGAACATTTACAACGGTATGCAAAATATCAGCACTGCGAAAGCGACGATATATTTAAAAAAACAATTTCTACATATATTAGATATGAAATCTTAAGATCATTTCAGAAAACAACTTCTTCTTGCTATTGAAAGAAAATGTCGCGGCTTTTAGTGCTTTCTTCGGTTGTGTTTTTCCTTGCTGCAGGTTCCACGTTAATCGCGTGGGGGCGCTGCTTCCTGGTGCAGAAGCGGGAAAGTTTCAGGCCCAGGTACTCAGCAACCTCCAGGATCGTCATCACGCTGGCGCCTATAAACAACCCCATCATGCCACCCATGTTACCTGGGCAACGCAACAAACAAACAAATAAATAACAAACAAACAAACAAACAAATAATATTACTGATTCATCATCATTATCATTATTCTTGGTAAATGGATGTTGATATTTAATGTAAACTAGAGAAGTAACATTTGCAAAGCAAATGCATAATGTTTACCTTCAGACATGGTCTACTCTGTTATATCTTACTCAAACACATTCACATAAATGTACTACTAGTACATACATGTAATGTATGGTGACAGGAGCAAAGCAGACCATGAAATTGCAACATTATGTAACCCAACACCAGTCACTATGGTGAGAGACGTCAACAAATCAGGCCATTGGCCAGGTCAGAGGTCAGTGTTTGGAACGGCAGAAGAAGAAACGTAGCAAAAACAATATGTTTTCCTTCGGTAAACATAATTAGTTTTGTGATGCCCATGTGACCTGGGCAACACGAAAAACTAACAAATAAACATCTTTGTTGTTCCAAACATACTTGCGAGCTGTCCCGAGTCCACTGCTTTGAGCTGTGAAATCTTCTGGTAGTTCAGAGTGTCGTAGTAGATGTCCAGTACAACCCCGTTTTCTCTGAAACACACAGGACGGAACATTCATTTAATAGGTCACAAATGAAAGATAGTCGATGGCTACCTAGTTCTGTGCCTAACAACTTATTTGGTGTAATCTGTAGCCCAGTTGTGTACAAAGTCATTTACGCAACATTAACGTTACATCACTGATGGCAACTTTACTTGATGTAGTCTGGAGTCGGACCGTAGGTATCATTATGTTTACCGAAGGAAAACTCATTGCTTTTACTCAGTTTCTTCCTCTTCTACTTCTTCTCCAAACAGTGACCTATGACCTGACCAATGACATAATTTGTTGTTCTCTGTCACCATGGTGACTGGTGTTGGGTTACATAATGTTCTGCTCTGCTCATGTCACCATATGTTTGAGTTAGAGCACAAGTTCCTTATGCAACAGTAACGTTACAGCGCTAACTACACCTCACCTGATGTAGTCCGGAGTGAGGTTGTAGGCAGCGTTGTAGCTCTTCTTTGTAAGCCTGTTGGGGTATCCTGCGTACGTCACACTAGCGCCATATTTGGTCATGGTGCAGGGAATGGGGCAGTCGCATTTAAGTTCCCCTGCCACTAGCTGATCTGTGGGTGTGGAAAAAAGGCGAGGTGGAAGTATAGCTTTGGGTGGCACTGGTTTTGGGATAGTTTGTATGTATGGTTACAAAGTGGGTGGGCGGAGATTGGGTTTCACTTTATTGACAGGGTTTGACCGAGGCACCAGCTAATCTGTAGGTGTGGAAAAAAGGCGTTTGTTACCTTCAAGATGGAAGTATTGCTTTGGGTGGCACTAGCTGGTTTTGGGATGGTTTGTATGTATGGGTTCCGAAATGGTTGGGCGGAGATTGGGTTTCACTTGATTGACAGGGTTTGACCCTGTGTATGCTATTGGTCAATGAATACAGTAGGCAGGAAATGTACAATGAATACAACAAAATGTATCCTTTACAGGGTCTATCCTTTGATGTTTTGAAAATGATACAAAAAACGACATACTCAGAACTTGGTTGACGCACTGGAAGATCGGCTGTGGTTCGCAAGGCGTCGCTGTTCCTGTGAAAAAAAAGTGGAAAAAAGTGCAAGTTTGAGTATGAGCATTTTTCCACGTTTTCTTGGGGACTGGAAGGATCATACCGCTGTGTGGGTACGGGGGTGGAGTCTCCTATTTGACTGCCTTATCTCTAAACACATGGGGTGAATGACCTGGACCAGACGTCTGTCACCATGGTAACTGGAGCTGTAGCAGACACCCTGTGGTATTGGATTACATTATGTAGCAAGTGGCAGGACAGTGTTGAGGTTACTGAATATATGAATGTGTAAGAGTGTTGTGTTTGCCGTTTTAGTTTAAACTTGTTTCAGAGCTCACTTTTTGTTGTTTTCTTGGTGTATTTGCTTTCTAGTCTCTAATGGAGTGCTATTAGCTGGGGGCCCACATGCCCTTTTCCGTAGAGCGTAATCGGCCATTTTAATTCTACGTAGAGCGTAGACGGACCGCTCTAATTCAATGTAGAGCGTAATTGGCGCATTTTGCATAGAATGTATTCGCCGTTCTAGTTCTACGTAATGCGTTGTAGCCACTTAGAATTTAGCGTAAAGCGTAATCGAGAGGTTTTCTCAATTCAGCGTAATACGTAGCCAGCTCTCAAAATTTAGCGTAGAGCGTTGTCGGGACCCCCCTTGCAGGCCCCCTTAGATACTTTACCTGGTAGAAAGTAGGGAGTACACTGGCAGGCCTGCTCCACATGTCGACTGCGGCACTCCAGCAGGCAGGCCGGCAGCGTGTACGGGTCGTAATGTACCAGCTGCAGTTCCCCGCACTTACCCCAGGGGGGCTCGTGGTTACGGTACTGCAATAACCAATCACTCAATCAATCAATCAATCAATCAATATATCAGGGGAGAGATAGAGGGAGGGAGAGAGAGAGAGAGAGAAAGGGGAGAGGGAGAGAGACAGAGAGACACAGAGAGAGCGAGACAGAGAGAGGGAGGGAGGGAGAGAGGGAGTGAGAGACACACACACAAATAGAGGGAAGGAGAGAGACAGAGAGGGGGAGACAGAGAGAGAGGGAGAGAGAGAGACAGTGAGACAGAGAGAAACGGATGGAGGGAGACAGAGAGAGAGGGGGGAGGGAGGGACAGAGACGTACCCGAGTCTGTCTGACGGCCATGAAGGCGTGGTTTCCCGGCGCCAGTGCCACCGCCTGACTGTCCATCACCGGCGGCTCCGTCTGGTCGTGCAGAAGGACCCGGATGCCGACCTCTCCGTGACCTCCAGTACTCACCGTCTCGGTGGAAAATTGCTGAAGAAAAAATATGTTTCCTTCAGTCGTCAAATCGCGGGAAATTTCTGAAATGTAGGCGCTTAAGGGGTTTACGAATCTTAATGAAATGAGAGGAGTTTAGGAGTTGTAACTGCTATATATTCTAAAACAAATTAACATAAAATGCATTTCTAGTTTCAGAGTCATTTTTAGCGTTCATCTTTATTAAAAAAAGTATGCAGGACGAAGGCAATACATGTAAGGTATACTCCAAAGTTGACCATCCCCTCCAACTCTGCCACTAATTGCTACATAATGTAATCCAACCCTGCATGGTGTCTGCCACAGCACCAGTTACCATGGCGACAGAAGTCTGGTGCAGGTCATTGACCTTATGTGTTTGGAGAAGAATCAAGAGAAAACAAGATATTACATTTTCCTTCTGAACAAACAAACATATCCATGAAATCAGGAGCCATGTGCAGTCCGTTACGGAAAATAAACAAATAAATAAAATAAAACACAAATAAACAAACAATCAATCCGTACGTCCATGACATCCAGGATTATTTGCAGGCCGTTACTGCTGGGAAAGCCCGTCCCTTCCATTGTCTGTTGGAGCGGGCTGCTCCGGTCTCCGTTAAACGTGTAGCAGTTCCCGTATACGCTGTACGAGTGCGTAAAGTTCTGAGGAGGAAATATGAAAATATCAATCAATCAATCAATCAGCCAATTAATCAATCAATCAATAAATAAATAAATGAAATGTCTACGCTTATCAAGACATCGCCGTTAAACGTGTAGCGGTTCCCGTACACGCTGTACGAGTGCGTGAAATTCTGGGGGAGAAAATATCAATCAATAAGTCAATCAATCTATTGATCGATCAAACTTTATTGCACAACAATTCTAGCAAGTACATGTATGGCTGGTTCTTTAGATGTACTACATATCAAGCTGATATCTTAACTAACGTCTACGGTAATGCTGATGGGTTTTATAAGATGATATGACTAACAGTACACTACTTCACAGAGGTGACACGCTATATTTGGAACATGAAATAAAGAACAGTGAACAAACACCGATGCACAGTCATAGCCTTCTCTGGCATTCATATGAAGGTAAGTATCATAGAAGTTTGCGAAAAGTGAAATGATTGGCCAGGAGAGTGTAGGTCTTTTGGCCACTTATTCTCATTTTCCCTATTTGGCTAAATTTTGTCGTGTTTGAACCCGCGTTGTTTAGTCTAGTGGAGACTAGTACAGTCAAGTCTAAAAGACACCAGAAAAGCCTCTGGACGTATTAGACTGTATATTATATTATATTTGTTTTCTTTTTTAATTGTTATTGCAAATTGTTCTGTTGCCTACGAAAACAAACACAAACACACAAACACAAACAAACACGTACCTCTGAGTTGCAGAGCTGCCCCTTAAAAGTGCACCCGACCATCCTAGGCCATCCTCTCGACCCGATACCCAGGTCGAACCCTTTACGCCTGATGATGTCCGCTACATTAAATCCCTGGTGGGAAAACTTATATCATTATGAAAGTTCATCTGTGTTGGTAGTTACATGTTTAAAGTTAAAACTTTTGGTCCAACACAAAAGTTCTCTCACCTAGAGAGAACTTTTGGACACTGAACAAGACTATTTCTTGAGAGGGGTGAAGGAAGCCATATACATCAGGGCCCATCACCCTTTATTGAACCTCGACGGGGGCCGATATCGTCTACCAGATACCTTTGACCCAGTGTTGATTTCAAAGAAGCCACATGACAAGCCTCACTTGGTCAGTCTACTGAGGAAGACCAGAGTGACTGGTCGAAAGCTCTAGGTGAGGGAACTTTATTGTGTTGTACCAAAGGTTTTAACTTTAAACAAGAGAAAAACTTCAATACCCATACTGAGAAGAATAACTAGAAGTCTAAACTTAAGAGTTTCGAAGCAAACGCATTCACATAACGCCTGTAACCTTCACATGGGGATGCTCTGTGTACATGTAATTTATTTATCATTCTTTCTCAAACACATTCATATATACATGGTGACCAGCCCCTCCAGCTCCAACTCTGTCCTACCACTTGCTTATGACATAATATGTTAGTTCTGTCTCCCTCACTCTGTCTCTCTCTGTCCCTCTGTCTCTCTCTGTCTCTCTTTCTGTCTCTTTTTCTCCCTGTCTCTCTCTGTCTCTGTCTCTCGGCCTCTGTCTCTCTCTCTCTCTTTTTCTCTCTCTCTGTCTCTCTCTCTCTGTCTCTGTCTCTCTTTCCGTCTCTCTTTCTCTCTCTCAGTCTCTCTCTGTCTCTCTCCGTTTCCGCCTCTCTCTGTCTTTCTTTCTCTCTCTCTCTTTCTCTCTCTGTTTCCGCCTCTGTCTCTCTCTCTCTCTGTCTCTGTCTGTCTCTCTTTTCTCTCTGTCTCTCTCTCTCTGTCCCTCTCTCTCTCTCCTCATACTGCTATCCATGCTTGGTGCAGTCGTGTTCTATCATATCTAGCGAACATGCTGTGCTATTACCGTGGTGGGAGTAGTCGCTGATGTAGAGTTTACCGCACTGCTGCTGTTGTCAGCTGCCGGAAGGTCCAGCCAGGCCCGCAGTGCCGCTTCGTCCATGGAACTGCCGTACAACATGGGGGAGAGGTACTGCAGCTCCTCCATGGTCGCTAGGTCCAGATCCACTCTGTAATGAAGTGTTCAAGAATTCATTCTTTCCTATAAGTATAACTATCGCAGAGTGAAACTCGCTGTCACCAAGTACAGTAGGGGCATTGTCAATAGATAGCTTTAAACAATGTCTAGAGTTGGATGTTCAAGGGTTAGGTGTAACAAGTCGTTCGGTGTGATATAGCCAGCTGCCGCGTGCCTGCGAAGCTGGTGTGTTACGAAGGGCGGTTATACCGGGTATACAGATACAGATAATGTTGAACACATAGTTAAAGTAACACATACCATAAACTATAAACACACGCAATAAGCACACACTTGGGCCCCCCAACATAGGGGAGAGATACTATAGCTCACCCAGGGTCGCTAGGTCCAGATCCACTCTAAAACGTTAAAGACAAAGTAGTTAAACACATTTGTACAATGCATGTTTAGTATGTGACCATATCCTTACAGTCCGATCTGAGATTTTCAGACACAAAGTCTCAAAAAAACAATTTACAAACAAACAAACAACCAGACCCTATTGGAGCAATGTAAGGATGTAAAAGAACCTTGAAGGGCTCTCGATCATGACGGGGGGCGACACAGACTTCCGACCACCTTTAACCCCTTACTGACCTATGTTAATGCTCACCTGTTGTAGTTACAGATGGTGACGGCAGGAAACGTGATCTGGTCTGCGAACTCCAGCGTCATGTCCGTGACGGGGGGCGACACAGACTATCTTATAATGCTCACCTGTTGTAGTTACAGATGGTGACGGCAGGAAACGTGACGGGGGGCGACACAGACTATCTTATAATGCTCACCTGTTGTAGTTGCAGATGGTGACGGCAGGAAACGTGACGGGGGGCGACACAGACTACCCATGCTCACCTGTTGTAGTTACAGATGGTGACGGCAGGAAACGTGATCTCGTCTGCGAACTCTAGCGTCATGTCCGTGACGGGGGGCGACACAGACTACCCATGCTCACCTGACACATACACACTCTCTC